GCTAAGCCGAGATATTCCTTAAAATCGAAAAAGAGACATATATTCACTACCTAAGTGAGATTAAACGTCCAAGAACAGTCCCAACCGGGGGACTATTCAAGTCTTCCTCCTAATGAGAAAGACTTGAATGGGTATCTAGGCAAATGATGATGCAAGCATTCAAAAATTTCCATTTGTTTGACATTTAACAAAACACAAGTTCATTCATTCATACAATGCTATTTGGACTACCTACAAGCAAACTAATCTTACCTTCAATCCATTCATTAATTCATTACTTTTTAGCTACTCAAATTAAAACAACTTATAACATTATACAATTAAGGTGAGAATTAACATTTTGTATACAAATAATTCAAATATTAATAAACATAAAATTTGATTAACTAAAATTGAAACCCTAAAATTTGGGAAATTATTAACAACATATAAGTAATGAATTTAAATTAAGCATGAACTCACCCAAAAATATGGAATGTGGGGTAAGAGGGAGAGGTGTGGTGGCCTGGTGGTGCGTGTGAAGGTGAGATGGGGGAGCACGCAGAGGGTCGCGGCAGGGGCAGCAGGCAGAGCGACGCAGCAGCACGACCCTATGGTAGTAATGGAGGTAGCAAGGGCAGCAGGCAGAGGGACGCAGCAGCACCACCCTAAGGTGGTTGTGGTGGTGAAAGCAGGCGCAGCAACCCCTTTTCCTAACAACACTCAATGAAAGAAACGAACGGTTGTGGTGGTGAAAGTAGGCAGCAAGGTTGTTGTTGTGGTGGGTAAGCACGACAATGGTGGTGTGGGATGCTGTGTGATGGTGGGTGAAAGTGAAGGAGGGAGCGAATTGAGTTGAAGGAGGTGTACTCGGCAATTGAAAGCAGCAAACACGAAGGAAATGAAGGAGGGAAAAAAGGAGGGAACGAAGGAAATAATAAGAATCCGGTTTTTTTTTTTTTTAAAAGAGAAGCGGTTTGAACCGCTTCTAATTACCTTTTAGAAGCGGTACAAACCGAACCGCTTCCAATTCTCCTCTTGTTCTTTTTTTTTTAATCCCGGGTTTTTGTATGGAATTGGAAGCGGATTCCAATAACCGCTTCCAATTAGTGGCTTCCCATTACCTATTTTCTATTAGTGGGAAAGTCGACCCATCTGGCTGCCATAGTAAAGGTCAACACTTCCGCCAAGTCCCTTCACACGTCCTTTTTTGTTCCGACCACCCACTGTCTCCCAGTACAGCTCATTCGGACTCTTTTGAGTCCTTTGAGTGCTAGCCTCCTCAACCCTCTTTCGGTAGGCCTCCTGTAAGATAAACATATGAAAAGGAATAAACGAGTTAGTAAGTTATATAAATAAGCTTTGGGTACCATATTCATGAAAAAATAAACCAACATGACATAGGTGACTTCTACTTAGCCCAATTACTTCATTTCTTAGGAAATGAGCTCTTTTTTGCCTCATTCCATATAAATTAAACATAGTTTTAGGAAATGAGCTCTTTTTTTTCTTATAAAGTGCTTTAATTGACAAAAAAAAACAAAGTAACAAAGTTTTACGTACAATATCCATGAAAAACGCACCGAGTATGGCCTAAGTGACTTCTATGTTGCCCATTTTCTCTATTTCTTAGCTAATGTTCTCATTTCTCATCCAAACATGTCAAATGTACATAGTTTTAGGGGTCTAGGGCTTGAAATGCCATGAAAAAACAACACATTAAGTTTTGGGAGCCATATTGATGAAAAACGCACCAGGTATGGCCTAAGTGACTTCTATGTTGCCCATTTTCTCTATTTCTTAGCTAATGTTCTCATTTATAATCCAAACATGTCAAATGTTCATAGTATTAGGAGTCTAGGGCTTAAAATTCCAATAAAAAACAACACATTAAGTTTTGGGAGCCATATTGATGAAAAACGCACCAAGTATGGCCTAAGTGACTTCTATGTTGCCCATTTTCTCTATTTCATAGCTAATGTTCTCATTTCTCATCTAAACATGTCAAATGTACATAGTTTTAGGATTCTAGGGCTTGAAATGCCAAGAAAAAACAACATATTAAGTTTTAGGGGCCACATTAATGAAAAACGCACCAAGTATGGCCTAAGTGACTTCTATGTTGCCCATTTTCTCTATTTCTTAGCTAATGTTCTCATTTCTCATCCAAACATGTCAAATGTACATAGTTTTAGGGGTCTAGGGATTGAAATTCCAAAAAAAAAACAACACATTAAGTTTTGGGAGCCATATTGATGAAAAACGAACCAAGTATGGCCTATATGACCTATTCTTTGACCATTTTCTTCATTTTCGACCAAATGAACTATTTCTTTCTCTAAACATGTTAATTATGGTTATTAAAAGCGGTAATTCCTTAAAATCACAAAAAACAACAAGTCCTTAAGGTTCGGGACGCATTTGGAGCGAAATTGAACCAACTATGGCCTATATAACCTATTCTTTGCCCATTTTCTTCATTTTCGACCAAATGAACTATTTCTTTCTCTAAACATGTCAATTATGGTTATTCAAAGGGGTACATGCCTTTAAATCACAAAAAACAACAAGTCCCTAAGGTTCGGGACGCATTTGGAGCAAAATTGAACCAACTATGGCCTATATGACCTATTCTTTGCCCATTTTCTTCATTTTCGACCAAATGAACTATTTCTTTCTCTAAACATGTCAATTATAGGTAATCTAAGGGGTACATGCCTTGAAATCACAAAAACCAACAAGTCCCTAAGTTTTCAGTACCATATTCATGAATAATGATCCAATGAACTAAGTTTAGGGAATTTGTTACCGTAATTTCCTGAGCTGTGGGGTTTACTGCCACTGTGCCTTTCCCAGGAAGCTCCTTGAAGTGTGTCTTCAGAAACAGCTCAGGAGCTATTGGCAGCTGGCCCTTGTTCTTCGCCGCCTTTGAGACAAAAAAATAGGAATAAACGTTAAACAAGTCACACCCTTGTTACGTTGAAATACACAAAAACGCCTTTTAATATAAGATCTTTTTAAATAAACTTACCATCCTTTTTGCTGTTGGACAGATGACAGCGAACCCTCAAAGTGGGTCCCTCGAACGGGATTTTCCATAGAACCGCCCCTTCTGTTCTTCTTGTTTTGCGCCGACCTCTCCTTGTAAGTTGGATCCGATGCAACAATGTTCATCATCTCCTTGTGGATCTCCTCACTCAGCCAACTTGGCTTGGCGCCATTCATCTTGTGCGTGATGGTGTGGAACATGTCACGCAGGCGTGTTGCTACCCTCCTCCGAAATGTGAGCTTCACTAGCTCGTTCATCTGGAGTGCCCATCTGAATTGTGCCTGTAAATGATAAAATATAGAAGTTATACACAAAACTAAATCAATACAATATCTAAAACATGTATTAACCAAGACCCAAAAATATCATACGCTGAACAAGTTCCACCAGTGTTCCTTCGTAGCTGCAGGAACTTCTCCAAAGTTCCTCCAAGGGGCTCGGTAGTATCCACTAATCGTACCGGATACCGCACTCCAAACCTTAGGATCATCAAACCTATAACAAACGGGAAACAACAATGTTAAACAAGTTCGAGAATAGTAATATAAGCCTTGTATCTCATCATTCATATCATGATATGTACGTACCACAGCGTAGTAGGGTCCAAAAACAGGAGTTGTGACTCAAAGTTTCAATCTATCCATTGATAGATTCAATATTTGAAGTGAAAGTTTCAATCATTCATGTCAATGTTTCAAACTTTAATCATATTAGTTTCATGGTATAATGGGTGTAGCAACTCATTTAATATTTCCATGCATATGTATTAGTATGTTTGGCCGATTTTTCTCCATTGTCCTTGTCAATGGCGGATTAAGTGTGGGTTAAGTGTGTTCAACTGAACCCATGTGGACTTGGAAAAAAATTGCTTTCTCCGTTTCACAACAGTCGCTAAACTTTTAAAATTACATATCCTAGGTAATCTTTTAGAGAAGAGAAAGATAGAGAGAAAGAAAAAAAGGGACCCATGTGAGAGGAGAGAGATAGAAATAATTTTTTGCTTAAAAAAGAAGTGTAGCAAGTAATTGAAACTTCCTTAAATAGAAAGCATAGCGAGTAATCCGAAACGGGGGAAGTAGAAGTTTTTATTTTTTTATTTAAAAAAAGAGTTAAATAAGGGTTATAAAATGCGCGATAATAAATTTTATATTAGGAGATGGTCCAGTGGTTGGTGCTCCTCGTTTTCGGGGAAAAGTTACCAATCTAAGCTTAATTATCAAACAATGTTCCATATACACGCGTGACAAAACTATTTACGAAACTAAGCCAAAGGGTAAACGCCATCTAGGGTAGCGTTTACCCCTGACAATTTTTTGTAAAAAAAACATTTCAGTTAGTTGTAAAACGCTATCCTGGATGGCGTTTTACCCCTAACTGAAATGTAAAAAATAAAATAAAATTCAAAGGGTAAAACGTAGAGGTGATCAAACTTGGCCCGGCCTGACGTGGCCCAATTTTGGGCAGAAATTTTCGGCCCGAAAATTTATTTTTTTGGGCGGGTTTGGGAATGCGTTTTATGCATATTTCAGTTGATTTTTTTTGGCCCGGCCCGACCATTTTGGGCGGGTTTGGGCACAAAAATTTTGGCCCGAAGCTTGGCCCGAGAAATGGGCATAATTTTTTTAGCTTTGGCCCGGCCCGGCCAATGATCACCTCTAGTAAAACGCCAACGTGGAGGACGTTTTTGTCTTCTGCATAAAAATTCAACCACGCTGGAGTTTTTGCATAGGAGTAAAACGCCAACGACGTTGGAGTTTTTACATCGGGTAAAATCTGCTATGTTCTTCAGTCAGAGGTGAAACACCATCCAGGGTAGACTTTACCCCTAACTGAAATGTTTTAAAAAAAAATTTGTGAAAGGGTAAAACGCTATCCTGAATGGCGTTTTACCCTCAAGCTCAGTTTGATAAATAGTTTTGCCACTCGTTTAATATGGAGTATAGTTTCTTAACGAAGCTTCCTTTGGTAATTTTTCCCGTTTTCGAACGCGGGCCATGATCAAATCTGGTGACTTGGTGAGTAACACAAACCTGATTGTTTTTTTTTTTTTTTTTTTTTTTTTTTTTTCTTTTCATTTTATGTTATCCCAATTTACAAAACAACTCTCACCCTCTCACCTCAAACCCCAAACCCTTTATTCGCTCCTCGCGGCGCTGCCTCCCAGGCTCCACGGCGGCCGGCGTTGGTTGGCTCGGCTCGGCGTCTCCAAATCGCTACACACTCCTCGCTCTCTGTCCTACTCGCCTCTCATTCTATCAATCTTTGTATGTGTAAATGTCTAATTACAAAATTACATTTCAGTTATTTAAATTAATTTGTTGTTAATAGCAGTTTATTTATCTTTTTAGCTTGTTCATCTTGTTAATTAATTTACAGTTTTGTTGTTTAATTGTTATTTTAATAGTTTATTTGAATTGTAGTTGTGTTGAATACTTGAGTTGTGGATTACTTGATTTATAATTGCAATTTGACATGTTGTTTGTTAATTTATATGCTTGCTGACTGATGTATTCCGGAAGGACCTTGATGGTCTTATTTGATGTTGTCTGTTCTACCTTAGTTGTTTCCCCTGGAGCTTTTATCTGTATTTTGTTAGTAGTTTCTTTTGGAGTTTTGTTTGGTACTCAGGCAGCCATGTGCTTTCTGTATGTATTTCAGAAATAGTGCGCATATCTTGAGATATACACCCGGGTGTTTAATCGAATTTTCTACGGGTAAATCCTAGTTATTTATTGGAGGAAAACAATCTCTATCCATGGTATTAGAAGTTCCTAGTTTGTTTGATTAGCCGCTTTTGTGTGTAGGGATATGGGGATAGGGAGAGAGCAGAGTAGCACATCCGAAGCCGAAAGAGAGGAAAAAAGAATTGTGATGCTGGCACTGAGCGATGAATGCTTGCCTTCGGAAAGACTACAAGGTGGTACTCAATTATATCACACTCGTGCAGAATTTCACTCTGTGGATCTGAAGCACAATATATTAACTCGTTCTTGCTTTCCTTCAATTATCATGGCTAAGTTCTTCTCATCTGCCATGGTGTCATCTTTGAATAAATTTATCTACTTAGTGGGAGTGGGAGGAGCGCGATTATCTGTCGTCCAATCATCTAATGAGTCTTCCTCTTCCAACCACACATTCTACTCCGGCGGTTCATGTCTTGACATGTCTGATGAGGCTCCAGTGTGGTGTCCAGCTCCTGTCTTCGTTGAGGATCACACTTCTCCCAACTATGTTAGCTTTCTTGGCAATATTTACAACTTTGGATCTGTTTGCCTTGCGCCCCAGGTTCTTGAATGTGGTGCCCTTGGCCACTGTAAGTCAATTCGCTCTCTCCCTATCCCTCAAAGCCTTGCTGGTTGTAGTGTGTCTGTTCCTGTACTTCCCGACCCTTCCAACAAACGCATTCTTATGCGCCTCTATGGTGGTCCCCTTTCGTCGCCTTCCCTCTATGCTTTCACTCCCGATCCTGATGCTGATGCTGATGCTATTGGGACATGGGAATGTCTCACCTCTGATCTCCATCTTTGGGCTCATGCTGCTGCTGTTGTTAATGGGGTCATATATTTTCACTGCCATAAAGTTCCATCTCTTCTTTGTGCTTTTCATATAACCAAGAAAATATGGTTGAAAGTCTGGTGGGATTCGTGCTTTAAGGACAGTGTTAATATGAATGTCGAAACAATTAAATTCGATGCAATGCTTCATTTGGGCCACAATATTTTGTGCTTTGCTTGTTGGACACCAATATATTCCCGGACTGCTGTTTTTACCCTCGAAGTCATATTTTACAAGTTCCAAGTGTTGGTCACCGGTGAAACTGTAACCGTCAAGGTCTGTGACTCCTACTCATATGAACTTCCGGGAAGTACCAATGTGTTTCATTTCCTCCCCATTTAGCAGGTACTCTTCTCCATCTTACCATCTCTTATTCTTGCTATTATTCTGTTACTTACTATCAAGGTATTTTACTGCCTCTTTTAATGTGGATTCGATTTATAATGCTAAATTTGTTCATCAACTTAGTTGAAAGAGGCATTGTTGGATAAATTTTCATTCCCAAAAATTTGCACTAGTGATTAATTTCCGAGTCTTGTTTCTTTTTGTTATTTGATAGCTCTACGAAGGAGTAGAGTTTTCATATTAATTATGAAGTTCTTGATGGTGTTCGGCTGTTTTCTAATGTGCTATTGTGTTCAAATCTCACATACATCGTGCCTCGTAGTCTAGAACCTGTGGTTGTTTGATGCTCTTTGATGATTGGAGTGATTGTATTTCGACGGTACTTTAAAGGAAAACATAATGCAGAATTTATTAGACAAGTGTGAAAGATGTGAGCCTGAAAAGAACACATGATGAAACAAAGTTTGAGTCTTTTTATAAAAAAATTCAAGATCACCAAAGATACGGCAAGCCTTAAACCAAAATATAATAATCATTTAGAATCTTCTCATAGATGTGCCAAGAAGCAATAGGAAATTTGTTGGAATGAATTGAAGTATAAACTTGGGTGTCAGGTGTAGGCCACTGGATGCTCCTGCATGATCAGCAAAACTCATGCAGATTGACCACTTCAAAAAGGCGCTCTTGCTTGTGGAGTGAAATTCAGCTGAATGAAAAACTGATATGTGATCTTAGTTTTAAACGCGGGTGCCTAGGCGTGACACTGGGCTCAAGGTGCACTAGGGTGCCAAGAAAAACACCTCTGGAGGCTGAGGCACATACCCCTTCGAGAGGCGCAAAGGCGCAGGCTTTTTGGGCTTTTTTTTTGTTTATTTTTCATTTTTAATCCTTTTGAGCCTAACCCACTAGAGGCGCACACCCCTCTTGCGCCTAGGTGCGCCTCTTGCATGTGATTAAGCTGAATTCTTTTAATTTCATATTCTCTCCATAGAGGAAGAGGTAGTTAATCTCTCTGCAAAGGTAGTTAATGGATTCTGTAAGGTAAAAAAAAAAGGATATAGCCTTTTGAGTTTTAATGCATTGATGATTAGTTAAATTGCACTTTAGGGCCTTGTCACTTCTGTTAACTAGAGGTTTGAAATATTCCCACTTAATACTATGAGTCCATGACCCATGAGGTACAATGGTTGAAATTCCATCTAATTTGATAATTTTATAGGTGCAAGTGTGTAACAAAGTGTGAGAATCAACTGTGAACATAATATTGGATTTTCATATAAATTTGTAAGAATTGCATTATTATGACGGTCTAAACCGCCTGTGATCTGGTTGAAATTTTCACTATATCCTTGTGTTGACCAAAGCGAATCACCAAAGTTCATGAATACCAAATTGGAAATAAACCAAACACCAGGACACTAAATGGGAAATGCCAAAATATTCATTTTCATGAATCAATTTGTTGAATACAGTGCTCTAGCTTTCCTCGTATAGATATGTTCTTGAATATGTAAAACACATTTTTTCCCCCTTTCTCTATAAGTTTTTAGCTTGTGATTACTTCCTATGTAGGGTAAAACCTTATAATATAGTAAGTGCTTATATTATGTTGATTCCTGGGATGTTAAATGTTAGATGAACATTTAATAAGCAGTGTGTCATGGTACTCATGCTTTCCAGTTACCTAAGTTAGGAAGATGATAAAGTAGGTTTGCATCTACATGGACACCATATTTCTGAAATGCTTTTGTCTCTTTCTTATTTACTAGGAGGTTGTTTGCTTGCAACCTATTTCCCCAACAAACACAATCTCCTAGGAAATAGATTGTGTTTGTTGGCAAAAACATTGGAAATGAGAATTCCAAGGAATTGGAAATTCCTACAAAGGGGGAGTGATTGGGTGACCCTAAGTGTTAAAGCATTAATTTTATATAACCCTCTTCCAATTTATTACACATATAATGCTATTTTATTATATTATACTCCGTATCTAATAGGGTTGGCAACCCTAAGGGTTGCTAAATCATTTTTCTGTAGGAAATCATTAACCGACTCCCCCCTTGGTAAATGCAAATTCCTGTGTCAATTACAAATACCCATGCTCAACCAAACACACATACTTATTTCCTAGGAAATGGAAGAATGGAATCTATTTCCAATTGGAATCAACTTCCCATGGCAACCAAACGACACCTAGATTTCAATAAGCTTGCCGCTGCCATGTTTTCCTCTGTCAACATTGTATACCCGTCTGAATATTAGATTTTAGTTTTGGATTTCTAAAATGTGTATATAGCTCTCAAGTAACTTTTGTAATTTGGGTACTGAATATAATATGTTCTAGGGACTGTAAAAGTACTACTCCCTCTGTTCCACCTTAAGGTTTAGGGTCCTTAAGGATCCACAATAAGGCAGAAGTGATTAACTTAATAATTGCAGCCTATACAGACGATAGCCACCATGCCCGCCTCAGCAGCTGCCACAACCACCCACCTAGGTCAACCACTACCAAACGAGGATGATTTGTTGGAGAAAACATGAGGCTGGAGCAGAGAGCATGGGATAGGGAACAAATGGAGTGTAGTTGGGGAGAGAAACGTGAGATCTTGTGATATGAGAGTGTAAGTTAGGATTAGTAAATAGACAACAGGTTAGTTTGTTAATATACTGTCAACACATGATAAAACTTGTCTTAAGGGGTAACTATGACTTCACATCCACGGGTGATGTCTAAATGTCCAGAATTCTGGTTTTTTTTCTTCTTTTATTTCATAGTTAAAAATTTGTGAAAAAGGTGTATTGTATACACCGTGCCTTAGATGAGAACTTCAGGTTGGTGTCATTCATCTTCATCGAATGCTATATCCATTGAATATTGAGAACTTTTAGCTGTCGATAAATGGACACAAATCCTTGTACCGAGGAGGTATTTTTCCATGCAATTTGTTTTTATGTAGTATTTTCTTTGGAATGTCAATAACCACTAAACCCCAAATTATTTTGGGACTAAGGCTTTGTTGTTGTTGGTTGTGAATAACCATTAAAATAATTATCACCAAAATGCTATGCTGTGTTATTTGTGCATAGCACTGATAGCAGCTGTAAAATGGTATGCTGAGCTATTTACAATCTCAAGCCCTATGTTATTTGTTACACCTCAAACCCTATTGTTTCTCAATTTTTACCTTAAGGTGCTAGGTGTTTGGAATACATTCTGAGCTCTGCTGCTTGTAGGCTTTGCCATGTTGCTTGGCTCATGTTGAAATTTGTTTGACGATTTTGTGGTTATATGTTTAGTTGAGTACTTAAGTCAGAGTTGAGATGCATTCGTGCATAGCCGTGTAATGGTAAAACTTGGTGGTTGTTTCATGCTTAAGTCTTGTAGATCTCGTCATTTTGTTTTTTGGGTGCCAAATAGTATTTAATGAAAGCCATTTTGTGATGCTTCACAGATAGGATAGGACAACTCGTGTTTATCATCACTTTTCTTAAGTTATTTACTTGTGCTACATGCCTACACGTTGGATGCTTCTGCTGCGCCTAGAAACTTGTTTAGGATAGTTGTGTTGTATTTAAGGCTTAGCTTCTTCAGACAATGGCAGTTGAAGTTATGAATTATGAGTCCTATTGTCAAATATATAATATCAAGAAGAGCTGCTCGAATCATACTTGTATATTCTTTTTTGGTCTTTTATCACAGAGACATGATATTGAGGCAATTAATGACACGGTTTCCTCAATTATTTTTACTTTTCACAGGGTAGCTACTGCTGAGGAAGAGTATGGCAATAGTGTTGGTCCCGAGGATGATTACTTGCTCCTATTGCTTGCACATCGTCAGCCAATTTCGGATTCCGGATGTTTTGCCTTTTAGTATTGTGATGACTGTTTTGTAGTGTCGTATTTGGTTTACCAGTTTGTGGAAATGCTTTAATTAGCTCTTTTCTGTGAACTGAATACAAGGATGCTTGTTTCTGATTAAAAACCCTGATTCCAATGAACAACAATTTTCTAGTTTATTCAAAATAACATGTCCTTTGGTTACTTGGGTTTCCCAATTTGCTATTTCATCTAACAACCCCTCATTAATCCAAAGATGTATCAATCTTATTCTTCTCAGTTTCTCATGTTTTTTATATAATATGCAGCGTAACTAAACTCTAATATTCGGAAAACATTACGTTCCATGTTAACTTGATCATGAGCACAGGTCAGCTCTATTAAAGCATATCTCCGCTCTTAAAACACCAACCACTTCAGTCAAACTGCAAGCCATTGTAGCAATTGCAAGTGGCAAGCTATACAAGATCAAAGGTGCGGTGCATATCTTTGATGGGGGTAAATATTGTAGTCATTGTAAAATAGTCGTAGAAATATAATCATCCTGCGATATATATAGCGGTGATTTTGGTTTTAGCATGGTGGTCGAGTATGTGGCAAACCACCACATTCTTCAGCAACTGATCTTGCTGATTCTTCGGTCAGACTGCAAGCCATTCTCTTATTATTTGGTCTGCAAGCTCTGTAGAAGTAGTGATACACATTTTCCTTTTTCTTATATTAATTATGTTGCGAACAACTAATATTTTAGGTATCAGTCTGTGTGGTTCAATACTCTGCTTCATAGTTCAGACTTAAGTTTCTCATGCATATATCACATGAGGAGGGCTTGTGGTGGTGATGGTGATGTTTTTAGCTACAATGGACATTGACATTATGCAACATATTACATTAGAAATTGTAGTGCGTTTTAAATAAATGACAATGGTAAAATAAACAATATTACAATTCGATACAATTATCATTGGGTCCGGTTAGATTTTCTTCTAGTTGAAGTAGGTAAATTTTTGACATATTTGAAGCTCCAATAAGTAAGGTCATGTTCTCATCAACTGAATTTTTCTAAACTGAACTTATTTTTTACTGAAGTGAACCTATTTTGTAGAAACCCGAACAAATATTTTACTTGACTTAACTTATATTTACTGAGCTGAACTTATTATTATCGAACTGAACTTATTTCTACTGAACTAAACTTATATTGACTAAAACTTATTAGAATAAGTTGACGAGAACATGAATGTTCAAATCATGCATCAAGTAGGAGATAGTTTTGAAAAATCGAATACGGGCCGTTTTGGGAGATAAGACCCGTATCCTTAATTAATTAATACAGAGTATGGGTTATGCATTTTGGGCCTTAAAGCTACCCACTACCCACCCGCTCTTTTATTATCTTCTTCTTCCCTATTATCATTACTCCGTAGATTATTTATTACTACATTAATCAATCCATCAATCTTGGGTTCACATTAATACGCTTCAAGTTTTGCCTTCTCTTCTCTTCTTCCAAGCAATTATTGGTATTCGTTTTACAGAGTAAGTAATTTCATCTTTTCTTTTCTGAATACTAATTAATTTCATGCGTGATCTAACAGATTATGTGATTTTTTTTAATTAATTCTTCGTTTTTTTCGGTATAATTGTTGTGTTTATTCTGACTTTGAGCTGTATTAATTTGATATTAATTTTTTTTTGTTGTAATATAATTTGATTAGCTTTGTTATTTCAATAATTAGGATTTTCCAGTGTTTTGTGGATAATTATTTATACGTTTAGAGCGATTTTTTTTGACGAATATAAAAGAAATTTTTGTCGTGGCGAATTTCAGGTTTAGCGTTTAGCTCTAAAAAATTTCCATTTTCACCCTAAAGTTTCAATCTTTCCATTGAAAGATTCAATATTTGAAGTGAAAGTTTCAATCATTCATGTCAATGTTTCAAACTTTAATCATATTAGTTTCATGGTATAATGGGTGTGGCAACTCATTTAATATTTCCATGCATATGTATTAGTTTGTTTGGCCGATTTTTCTCCATTGCCCTTGTCAGTGGCGGATTAAGCGTGGGTTAAGTGTGTTCTACTGAACCCACGTGGACTTGGAAAAAAATTGCTTTCTCCGTTTCACAACAGTCGCTAAACTTTTAAAATTACATATCCTAGGTAATCTTTTAGAGAAGAGAAAGATAGAGAGAAAGAAAAAAAGGGACCCATGTGAGAGGAGAGAGATAAAAATAATTTTTTGTTTAAAAAAGAAGTTTAGCAAGTAATTGAAACTTCCTTAAATAGAAAGCATAGCGAGTAATCCGAAACGGGGGAAGTAGAAGTTTTTATTTTTTTATTTAAAAAAAAATTTAAATAAAGGTTATAAAATGCTCGATAATAAATTTTATATTAGGAGATGGTCCAGTGGTTGGTGCTCCTCGTTTTTGGGGAAAAAT